TGTTCAGGTCATGACTTCTAAACCAGATTTCTCTCTTCTAGGATAAAAGCCTTTAAAATCCAAACCATGAGCGGCAGGGCCATCAACTTCTGGAGATGCCCATGAGCAATCTTGATCGGGTTGGACAAAGATTCAGACAATTAATGACACTGTTCAAGTCCCCAGGGACAGCAATAGAAAAGGGACAATATTCCTGATAGGTAGGGTCTACAGCCCTTTGTCAGCTCAAAGCAGCTACCGAAGATGAATCACCCCCCCTTCAGTAACCCCAAAAAAGAATTTTTGGAATATTGTCCCTCAGCAGAGTTTAAGGCAGGCTAGGTTAGGAATAGTCTGGGACTGCTCTCCCTCTTGGTTCATAGGCTTCTCCTCCTAGCCCACAGGTGAGAGCAGCCAGGAGATGACATAATGTCTCCCCACCTCCAAGTTCAAGGTGGTATAAAAATGACCTACCAAGAGACCCCGGCCCCTTTTTTGTCTTCTTCTTTCCTTTCCTCACCTGGCAGAATGGGTGACTCCCCTTCCCTCAACAAAGCTATTCTACCTCACCCATCCATGTGTTCTACTTGGATTCTTCCATTTGGAGCACACGGACCAAGATCTTCTGAGAACATCGATTGCTGGTAACAGGTAGAGACAGAAAATTGGAAGATTAAGTCTAGCAAAGGGAAGTCCTGAAGTTCACCTATTGTCACGCTGTTTTGGGGTAGGCCTAAATCACATCTCCATGTTTTGGAATAATAAACAACATCCATCTTGGCCACCCAGAGCTACTGTTTCTAATGACTAGGGGTTGCTAGACAGACAGAACCACATGTATTCCACCAGCTCAAAGTATAAAGACTCCAAATAAGAACCACCACTTTGAGTCTTCACTCCCTTTTCCTGAGTGGTAAGGAGAAAATGTTTCTTCTTCTTTTTTTTAATCCTGTTTTCTAAATCTTTGCTAAAACTTCCACTTTGTGTGTCTCCCCTTTTTGCAAGACTCCTTGAAATTCTTTTCACGTGTGGATCTCAAGTTCCTATGATTTTATGTAAAACCGGGAAGCTGAGGGGTGCTTCCTCATTCCTTCACCTGGTAACATTACCAGAGGCCTGACCAGAAAGTCTTCGGGCGGGTCTGAACTCTCACCCACATTAAGAGACAATGACATATAGAAAATGGAAAGCTGAGTTTATTTACAGTTTTGGCCAAAACGCGGAGAAATTCTCAATCTATTTCTGTCTTGCTCACAGCAATGTCACAACTTATACAAAAGGAAATAAAAGGCAGGCTAAGTGCATATGGAAATAGTCTTTCTTCTGGGAGACCGGTCTTCTGCCATCAGGGCTCCTGCAGGTAGCCCATTTTCACTCTTACCATGGAATTTTCCTGGAGCAATCCCAATTCCTAGGCCCTCTATACAACTTGTAAAAAATTCCATTATGAAATAAATTGTTTAAATCAAATTAATTTCAACTGCAAAACATAGGTTTTTCTACCTCAGGCTGTCCTTGGAGTGTCCGCAGAAGATCCTGTAGTTATGGGTCATCAGTGGTTACCACCAAGGCCATCAGTATCCCAATTTAACCTGGTTCCCTTGGTTCTAATAGTTCATTAGCTTTTGTGCCACCCTTGGAATATATGGGTAGTTGGCAAGGCTGGAGCTCCCATGGCCTTTCCTCTTTGAGATCTGACCACCCCTGCAGTATTGTCAGAGTGCAGGCCTCAGGCCTCCATTGTTGCAGAGGTCTGGACTGTTCCCCAGCCAGAAGCCATCTTTTACCTTGGGTAGTAGAATCAACCATGGCCTGCTTTGGTTTCCCTCAGAGCTGCTTCCTGACTCTCTTTCCATAAGCTAAGGCACTTTAGGGGGCTTAGACTTTTGGAAACAAAGCCAGGAAGGGAGGTGTTTTGCCGGCAACTTCTGCTTTCAGTTTGCCACAAAGGTCCCCTGAGGAAAGTAAAACAAACTTTTGCTTGAGGAGGGAAAGGGGGAAATGTGGGGAGGAGGGAGAAGGAGGGGAATCCAATATTTGTAGATCAAAAAATTACCCTACATCAAGAAGTTTAATGATGACACAATGTTATAAAATATGGATGTTAGACAGGAAGTCTGTGGGTTACACACAGACTAAGTCTGATGCCATACAGTTGGCAAAACCAGATGAGAATTTCCAAAGTTCTGATAAAAATGGTTGAATGAACAGACATTATTTCAGCAACCATCCTTGGTTTTTCCAGCTCTACTCTCTTCCATGCTTATGGAAATCTCTAACTACTGTCTCTACAAGACTGATAATCCGATTTTCATTTCCAGGGCCCAAACTTCCTAACTTCAGCTCTATGTCTCCAGAGCTGAAGGACACAAATAGCATCTCACTTGGGCAACCCCCTGTGTTTACTCAGGTCAGCTTCCTCTGCATGTCAGCTTTCTCATTGACATTTCATTCTGTCAGTGAGACAAGAGGGTGTGGTTCATGCAAAGTTCATTCATTTATACTGTCTTCTTATGGCAGCTTCAAAATGCCTGCTGAAGTCACTGGGGCTCCTTCGAATAAGTGGCTGTTGGGTACCACCTGACAGGCAAATGAATGGACTGGAGCCAGTGTCAATTCCAAGGGCACCCAAGTTGTTAGCCAGTGCAGACTTTCTGAAACAGCTTGGAGTAGAAGCTGTGATCAAAAAGTATACCCTGTAATAAACAGTGACCAGCTGAACAATCAGATCATCTGTCTTGGGGCTTTGAAGAAACATTGGCTGGAAGGTAGAAGCAGAGATAAAGTAATTTAGCTACCACGAATCTCCAAGAATGTAAATCAGGTCATGAAGAACTCTGATCTTTTCTCTCCAGGCAAGAGAGCTTTCCAGGCAGCTGGGGAGTAGAAGAGAGATGAATAAAGCATAATAGATGCTTTTCTCTTCTCTTCTCCTCCCTTCCTATTTTTCTTCTGTGTGTGTGTGTGTGTGTGTGTGTGTGTGTGTGGGAAGATCTTATCAGTGTCTGAATAACCTCCCTGTCTGAGGAGAAACCTCATTATATGAGTCTTGGTAGAAGACAAGACCACAATTCCCACTATGGAAGCTGAGAGGGTCAGGTACTTCCTGGCCCCATACCCTGAAAGCTGGAGCTTGATCACAATGATCCTGCTAGTGAATCAGATTCAGAATCAGTTGAGAAGGCTTTACTGCAGTAGCATCAAATGTCCATAGAGGCAGCATGGTGTAGTAGTACATAGTGGCCATGGTGCTAGCCAGATTGTCTGCAGTGAGAAAGGCAAACCTACAAGAGCTGAAAGAGAGCAATATATACACCCTTTACTTAGTGATTAGTTATCTGCTGCTGAAAAATGAATTCTTCAAATGTTGCAGCTAAACAGAGCAAACACTACTAGGAGTGTAGCTCAGTGGTAGAGTGTGTGCTTAGTATGTCTAAGGCCCTGGGTTCAATCCTCTACACCTAAGTAAATAACTTTACAGTTAACTTTAAATTTTAGTCTACACATTCTATTTTATTTATTTTGGTGGGACTGGGGTTTGAACTTAGGGCTTCACTCTTGCAAAGCAAACACTCCAGTCCATTTTTCTCTGGTTACTTTGAAGATGGCTTACTTTGCCTGGGCTGGCCTCAAACCTTGAGCCTCCCAATCTCGGCCTCTTAAGTAGCTAGGATTACAGGTGTGAGCTCCCAGCGCTGGGCTCCAAGTCTACACATTCTAACACTGAGAGGAGATAGTTACTGCAGGGCTGAGGGGGTTTCCACAGATTCCCAGTTTCCATGCAAAAATCATTAGGTACCTGAGAGCCACACACAAAAAACATTTCAAGATGTCTCACAAGGTGGAAGTTTTAGCAAGGATTTATTTAACAGGATAAAGTAGGGAGAAGTGGATGGGTGGGGGGGAAGGGAGAAACCTTTTCTGCTTCCCACACAGGAAATAGGAGTGAAAACTTTATACTTCCGGAGGTGGGGTAGCTCATTAACATCTCAAGGAGAAAGGCAGATTGCAGATAGCCCCTTTTAAGTCTCTCCGTTCTTACAACTTAACCTCCAAAAGGATCTGTCAAGATACCTGGCAAATTAATGCTGCCGCAATTGGTGTAACCTTTGAATTTATAGTTATTCAATAAATTCTGACACTGGAAAGACACAGCGTGACCCTGTGTTTCTGATACAGCTTGCTCACAACACTAGCCCACAGCCAGGGTCCTGACATCAAGACTGCTTTGTGAACTAGTGGGACACCCTCTGGAAGGGAGAGAGCTGGACGACCTGCAGAGAAAAAATCCTAAGGGAGGGTCTGGGCAAGGATTAGCTATGACCGCTTCCCCACGCCGCAGGGCACTGCTTCCTCTAACAGGGTTAGGCTCCCAGGCTTGCTGCTGGCTGGGGAGGTGTGCGTCATGGCTCCCACCTCCCATCGCAACCGGCTGCTCAGAGAACGGCCACAGCGCTATGATTCATTTACCCACACCCCTGCCTTCTTTTCCGAGCCTGTCCCCAACCGCCCGCCTGGGGAGCTCACCTCGCCCACCCACAGCACCTGCTGGGGCCTTAGTCGGTCACGCCGCAGGGCTGTTCAGACGCGAGTATAAACAAACGCAGGACAAGATGGGGACCGCCTCCCTCACCATGGTTCGCCAAACGCAACACCTGCGCAAACCCAAGGAATGCATGACTCACTCGCCATGAGGAGCGCGCGCCCCACAAACCCAGCCACCCCGCGCTGTCCCTCCTCGCCAGCCGCAGGACGACGCACCCTCCCACGAACCAGCTCCCCGAAAAAAGGAAAACTCCACTCGCGAGTGCCGGAGGCAAAGAAGGCCGGCTGCGAAAAAGCTCCAGCTCCCATAGGCCCGGACGACGCAAAGGGCGGGACCTACTCGCAGAAGTTGGCTATGTATTGGCGGAGCCTCTTCACTGAGGGCTGTAATTGGCTACTCTGTTCGCAGGCGCGCTCCGTGCGGGGAGAGAGGGCGGGCTAAAGGGCGTGGCCGGCGCTCGGTCCCGCCCCAAGCGTTCTACACGCCGGAGGGAGGGCCACGGTCACGGCTTGGGACCCCCTCCCCACCTCGCTTGGGCCACCGCATGGGGTTCTTGTGGCCGCTGCGGACGTGCGAAGGCTCGAAATGCGATAGGTAAGCAGGGACTAGCACACATATGTCGGGGCGCTGGGGCTCTGATAGCCGCTTCCCGACTCCCCGCGCGCGCGGCTCGTTCCCCTCCTCCCCACTGTTTCTCCCGAGAGGTCTGCGAGGCCCGGGTCCATGCTTGCGGTGAGGGCACAAAGGCCTCCTGCGGGTGGGGGCGCATCGTGCCTTCGCCTCCATCTTGCTGGCAGAATGGGGCCGAGGCGCGGAGCGGGAGGCGGGCCGGGAACCTCCGGTGCGGATCCGCGGAGCGAGCGCGTGGCCACGCAGCTGGTGACCGCGCAGCTGCGGCGCGCGTCGGGTCGGCTCTGCTGCGGGGAACTCAGTCCGCCCACGGCTTCTCCTGGGCGTGTGCCGTTAGCCTGCTGTCCGATCTGGGTGCAGGCTGCCCAGGGTCGTTCCTACCGAAGGGATCGCGGCGAGCGATCTTCCTAGCTTCGCGAACGGCGGAGAGGCAAAGCAAGATGTCTTACTTTTTTTGCTTGGAAAAGCTGCCGTTTCCAACTGTCATCGCCAGAACCCTCAGCAGCTCAGGGGCGCGTGCCCAAAACCTGTCCGAGGCCCTTTCTAATTATTAGGTTGGGTTCATTGTATTGTTTGTAATAAAATGAGCGGAAACCTGCTAGTGGCCGGGCTCATTGGATCTCACTGGGAATTCATGGGGTCGGGGCACCTCCACAGTTCTCACATCTAGACTTTGAAGGGTGGTGTTAAAGTGCGTGACAACAGGTGCTGGGGTCAGTTTGCCTTGGGCTTGGTTAAAAGAAATAGAAGTCTCCATTTCTCACCTTGTACCCTCCATCCCTTTTCTCACCATCTGGCTAAAATTCTGAGCCACTCATTACAGAAAAAAGCAAGGAACTCGGTTTTACCGCTCTGGAAAGCTTTTTAGTGTTTCCGCACCCTACAGTTCCTGATTTCATTGGCCTTTGGACTGCTTTCTATGGCCTCTTGTCTTTACTCATGTTTGGTGGTTTCCCCAGTTCCTAGCAGGATGAAGACTCAGTGAGGGAAGGAAACCAAAATTAAAAACAGCATTGTAGCCAAAAGTTGACAAAACAGGAACTTTTATGCTTTCAACTTGTTGGGCCAGTTATTCTTACAGGTTAGGAAGTTAGCTGAGGCTCAGGCTCCTTAAATCAGACTTGAGCTCTGCTGTGTTACTAACTCTGGTTAAGTAACTTCTTTGTGCCTTAGTTTCCTCATTTGTAAAATGGCGTGGTTCAATCCCACCACTGCAAATAAAAGGGGGAAGGAGTTCCTGGCGCCAATGGCTCCCGCCTGTAATCCTAGTTACTTGGGAAGCTGAGATTGGGAGGATTGGAGTTTCAGGCCAGCTTGGCAAATAGTTCTCCAGACCCCATCTCCAAAATAACCAGAGCAAAAGTTCTGGAGGAGTGGCTCAAGCTGTAGAGCACTTACTTGGTAGTGCCTGCTTTGCAAGGGTGAAGCCCTGAGTTCAAACCCCAGTTCTACCAAAAATAAAGGTGGGGGGAACACTACCTACACCAGGGGTTATGAGGATTATATAAGATACTGATACAAAATGTCCAGGATAAAAATAGTGAAAAGGCTCCCCAAATACTACATACCTGTGTAGCATGTGACTCTTCAGGGTCTCTGCTTTTTGGACCTTACATGATACCTTAATCCTTTCCTGATTTTCTGCCCACAGTAAGAAGATTCATAGATCATCTGTTCATCCTTCTAGAATCTTACCACTCCTTTAGAAGTTAGATGCCAAATAACAATTTGGCCAAGTTTTTCACTATTAGTATGGTTTTTTGTTGGTGGTGGTTGGTTGGGTTTTGTTGTTTGCTTTTGAGACAGGGTCTCCCTGTGTAGCACATTCTGGCCTCAATCTCACAGTCTTTCTGTCTCAGCCTCCCAAGTTGCTGGTATGCACTACTCACCCCTTTCTTGATGAGCTCTCAATGTGATCTGTCACTCGAATGGTCATGTAACAGCAAAGGAGTGAAATAGATGGGGCCTGTCAAGACTGACAGAAGTCTTTATATGAGAGGCAGAAAAAAATCTGTAGAGTGAGGTTACAGCTTGTGGGGGTGGGGGTGAGCTTTGCCTGGCTCCCCTTTCTGGAGAAACTGTCTCCTACCTTTAAAGTTCCTCACAGATATTGTGAAAGTGGAAGAGGTCTTCTTCATGTTGGCTTTAGACCTGCTTGCTAGACCTACAGGTGTGAGATACCTGCTGGCCCTCCCTCTCCAGAGGGGGGTTGCCTCACTTGTTTTCTGGTGCCACTTTCTGGTCACAGGAAACAGACTGAAGTGTGTATTTCCTTCCAGCTGTAAGTCCCCTTGGCGTGTCACTTTCTCTTTAAATTATTTGGAGTCTCCAAAACAAATACCTTTTCTCCTCCTCACGTGTAATTCACAGGAGAAACTCAGCTATTCCATTATCTTTGTTAGCATTTCCACAATTAGACTCCCTGGAATCTTTTTCTAGGGAATACTGTTCTTCTGGGGACTTCCTTTCAAATGTGATAGGCTGTAATTAGCCATTAGAAACCTGCTGCCAACAAAAAAAAACTGTCACAAGATGTGAGTTTTTTCAGGCTTTTGTTTGTTTTTGTGGTACTAGGGGGTTGAACTTGGGGCCTTGACCTTGCTAGGCAGGCCTCTACCATTTGGGTAAAGCCTCTACCACTGGAGCCTTACCCTCAGACTTCTGAGTTAGTATTTTTGAGTTAGGGTCTTGTTTATGCCTAGCCTGGCCTGGACCAGATCCTGCTTTGAGCTTTCCTGTGTTGTGGGGATGATGCCCAGCCATTAGTTGAGATGGGGATCTCTTAAACTTTCCCCCCAGGATTATTTGCCCAGGTTGGCCTTAAACCACCATCCTCTCTTTTTCTGCCTCTCAAGTAGTTAGAATTATAGATTTGAGCCGCTGTGTCTGGCTTCAGGTGTCTTTTGCAAAGGACATGAGTTTCATTCTGTGTACATAGTGTGTGATAGGAGCTCAGTGAATGGTTGTAAAGCCATATAATCATTCATTATTAGAATGAAACAGTAGAACTGTGTCAGCAACCTAATTAAAAAAAGGGTTTTTTTTTTTTGTTGTAGTGGTGTTGGGATTTGAACTCAGGGCCTCATACTTGATGCACAGACCCTCTACCACTTGACTGATGCTCCTAGCCCTCAAGCCAGGTGTTTTTGAAACATTCATGGACTTATTAGCATGACATCTGGACATACTGCTGAAATGCAAATTCTGGTTCCAAGGCTCTGAGTGGGCCTGAGAATCTGCATTCCCAAGAAGCTCTGCATGCTGTGGATGTTGCTGCTCCTAGATCACACTTTCTTTGTTTTTGCTTTTGGTGGTCCTGGGGTTTGCCAGGCACCTGCTCTGTTGCTTGAGTCACACCTCCAGCCCTTTTTTCGTTTTCTGAGACAGGGTCTTAACATGTAGCTTGCTGGTCTAGAACTCAGTATGTAATCCAGGCTGGCCTTGAACTTGCAGTCCTCCTGCCTCAGCTTCTTGAGTGCTAGAATTATGGGTGTGGGGTATGCACCATCCCGCCAAGCTTAGAGCACACTTTTGAACATTAAAGTACTAACCTAAGTGTCTGCTTTTGCTTTTGTTTAAAGGCATTGATTGACTTTGTTTTGCAGTTCTAAAATGGAGCCACACTTGACTCCATAACAGCATGTGTTCTTTCTGTTTACTGTTTAGAAGTACTGGTAAATGGGTTTTATCATCATCATTTTTGGTGCTGGAGATTAAACCCAGAGCCTGTGTATGCTACCACTGAGTTGCATCTCTAACCGGTAAAGTTTTATTTTCTTATAGAATTGAAATAAAATCTTAAGCTTAGGAAATTTTTTCCACTTATTTTAGTCTATTTTTAGCAAGTCCTTTATCTTGTTCCTAAAAATGATGAAAAATAGAAAGGACTTTTTTTTGAGACATTCTGGCTTCAACATCCCAAATGCTGGGGTTACAGGTATGGACTACCACACCTGCCTGGCTTCTGTAAGATACATTTATTGTAACAAGATTTTTGATAAAAAGCAATTGAGGCAGGTAGTTTGAAAGTAAGAGGAAGTCAAGGAAGAGATTAGCACCAAAATGGAATGCCTCTCTGTCCTACACATTTTCTTTAGGTGGTTCTGCATATTTAACTCTGAGCTTCCTAGCAGTGAAAGCAAATAGGAAAGTTTTTTTTTTTAAATTGGTTTTGCTAATATCTATAAAGTAAGAACAAATTTGCTGCTTAGTAGAAACAGCTGTTTCTGTTATTGAAACAAAATTCATCTCCCATGGGTTCTCCAAAAAGGATGCTGTGGTATAGTAAGTGCAATTTTTAATCTCTTAAGAAAATTGATGATTCTTATGTGTGTAGCCTGATGGCTTCCCAGGAAACTGTTAGTCCAATGAGGCAGTGACCTGTGGAACTGTATGTAACCCTGTGGTCGGTACAGCTTCCTCTGACAGAAGGAACCACTTGGGTTACAGGAGACCTGTATTCTGCTTTTGCTGTTGATTGTGGGAATAATCACCAGCAAGATGTTCATTCCTCAGCATCCTTATTCTTAGAACTTTGTTAGGCATGGACGGACAGTCTGTTGGCTGCTGAGGAGGCCGGAGATCTTAGGGCTGAGGGAAGGGGTGACTGGGAACTCAGTCCAGCTCCTTTTTTAGATGTGACATTTGCATGTCCTAAAGCCTACTACAGACTACTAACAGCAAGGTAGAAGATTGTCTTTGCAGCTAAGCCATTTGATTGTTCTAATCAAGTAGCCAACAGTCAGTAGATGAAAAGGGAACAGACAAGGAACTGTACAAGCCTGGCCCATGGCCCTCCCCACCAAAGATCTACACAGACCTCCTGGCTTCTCTCAGGGCCCTGGGGACTCCTCTGTCCTGTGGACTGTAAGCAAAACTTAAGCATAGGACTGCATCAAACTAAAGAGCTTCTGCACAGCAAAGGAAACAGTCACCAGACTCAAGAGACAGCCCACAAAACAGGA